ACCGGTCACTTAACCGGTTCCCAGTTTTTCTGATCCGATCTGGTTTTGAAAACCATGATATAAATCAAATAATATAAATATGTTGATGTTAAACAATCAAAAAAACATTAATTTAAAAATCGACAAGCGTTCACTAAAAATAAATATTAACAAAACTTAGTAAATATTAAAAATGTATTTCAATTTCACTTAAAAATCCAACTGTATAAATACTAATAAAAATAAGAAATTTAAATATAAAAATATTAATTGATAGTTTTAATAATATTATTAGATAACTTATGAGTTGAGACCTTAATAAATGCTAATAAAAAATATTAATTGATAGTTTTAAAATACCAACAATTAATTAAAAAATCCAAAAAATTCTAAAAAACCTAAACATAATTAAAATACTAAAAATAATTAAAAAATATTGAAAATTAACAATATTTTATATTAATAAGGGTATTTGCTGAAAATAATTCAAAGTACACTTAATAGTGATTTATTTTAAAAAAAAATACCCAAGCCAAAAATTATTGAAAAATATTGAAAATTAGTTGTATTGTTTATTAACTATGGTATTTATTTAGTTATTTAAATGATGAAAATACTGAAAATTATTGAAAAATAATCATATGCAAAAATTACTGAATAATAATGAAAAAACACCAAAAATTAATTAAAAACCCAAAAATTCTGAAAACCTAAAGCTTAATTAAAATACTAAAAATAATTTAAAAATTAAATTAATTGTATTTTGTTGCAAAAAATACTAAATAATAATGAAAAAAATAATGTATTTTAATTTTTAATAGTAATATAATAAACAATAATTATTTTTAAATTATAATTAACAATTGTATACATAAAAAATCATATGAAATAAAAATTTAAACATCTTTTTCAATTTTTTAAAAATGGACTTCTCATAGCTTGTTGCAGTTCGTGGCCTGGCTTGGTTCAAGGCTCAGCCCAACACGATCCGATTTACACCTCTACTTGAACCCACCCAATACTAGGGACGGGGTGGGGAAATTCGAGAATTCCCCATCCTTAATGAGTGAGGTGCCTTGACTCTAAACTCACCCGACATTGAGGAGTGGTTGCCTTGCCATCAACCCACCTAACACTAGGGATGGGGCAAGGATGGGGTAGAGTGTCTTGACTATGGGGCAGGAATAGGGATGGGGTGCCCCGCCCTGAACCCACCTTGTTGTCTTTCATATATAATTGTTAATTATTAGTGAAATCAATAAAAATGTTAGTTTTTGTAATTATTTTTATTTATTTAAAGTTAATCAAAATTTCATTTAAAAATAATAACAATTATTAAAATTACTATAAATTATTAATTAAACTAAATTTATTAAAAATATTTGTTTATATTAAATTAACAATAATTATTTTCTGTAAATCAACATTAAATGAAAATATAATTATTAAAATTTTAGATATCAACAATATCTTTAAACACTTTTAGTTAATTA